GGGGTTGGACTGGGTGACCCACAGAGGTCCCTGCCAACCCCGAACATTCTGTGATTCTGTGACTGTGAAGGAGGTTTCGGTTAGATCATTACTTGCTTTTGTATTTACACAATAAAAATAAGCTGCCATGTTTAAGGTCCTTGTGTTTGTCTCTTTTTCCAGGTATGGAGGTTAATCACAAACTACTTGTTCTTTGGACCAGTTGGCTTTAATTTTTTATTTAACATGATCTTTTTGTATCCTTTGTCGAGTTTATTTTCTTTCCTTGAAGAGCAGAGCTCCAGAGTACAGGCACGTTGTGATGCGTTGCCTAGAGGCAAAGGTTCAGTTCCACTCCACCGTGAGGTTCCTGGGAGTTCAGTGGTGCCGACTTCGCTGGTGTCGTGAGTGCACATCAACGGGATTTCCTTCTTAAGTTGTCAAGAATTTTGCCACTTATTTCTCCAGTGTTAAGACTTCATTGTACAAGCCTGATCCTTCAGGTTGGTTCTGACATACAGGAGAAAATTCCAAGTAACTTTTTTCTCCTGGCTCTGCTCTCTCTGTTGGGGCACCCAGAAAGAGACAGCTGATGAAGTAAATGGATACAAAACTTCCATCTAAGCTCACGTATAAGTGAACCCTGTTCCGCTTGGATCTTTCTTTCAACTCATTTGCAATCAGATTTTCCTGACCTGCGACTCCAGATATCGTTACTGCCGAATGCTTGAAGAAGGCTCTTTTCGAGGTCGGACAGCAGATTTTGTATTTATGTTCCTATTTGGAGGGCTTTTAATGACTGTATCCTTTTTATATTCAAAACTGCTGTAGTGAGGCTAAAGGTATGTGAACGAGAACTGAAACCACAATGTTACATTTATCTTATTTCTTAGGTGATAATATATTTTGTTTATAGTACGAGGAATAACAGTATTTGTTAAAGTAGTTTTGAATGCTTTGTGACTGTTGCTGTTAAACACCGGGCTGCGCTGTCAGGCTTCACTGCTTGACAGACAGGATTATGGAAATGAGATTATCAGATAAAAGGGGACCGCTCAGGTGCATAATCATGCTCAGGCTGTCGAAGGGAAGTGCTGCTGCTTCAGTGATTTCATGCTAAATTATACTTTAAAGGGATTATTTGTGCTACAGGGAACCTGAATCCTGCTACAGGTGTTGAATTTGATCGACAGTACATTAGGTTAGATACCTGGGAAAGCAGAGCTAAGGGTTATATGGCAAATACAAGAGTACAGGTCAAGCTGGAGAATTCTGCTCATGCTTGACCTTACAACAACTATTTGGTGAACTGTTTTCTTTAACTGCCCGTCACAGCTCTTTGGCCTGTTTGTGAACTTGGTTTTCTTGGGTCAGGCATTCACAATAATGCTCGTGTATGTGTGGAGCCGCAGGAATCCCTACGTCCGTATGAACTTTTTTGGTCTTCTCATCTTTCAAGCCCCATTTCTACCCTGGGTACTGATGGGCTTTTCACTGCTTCTGGGGAACTCCATCATTGTGGATCTCCTGGGTAAGGAACTGCAAGAATCACAAGGATTTGTTCCTGCTCATGTTGTGCATGAAATAAAAAATGTGGAAAAAGCAAAAGGCTGAATGCCTCTTGCTTAGTGTTAGTCAGTCTGGTATAATGGTGGTATATTTATCCCAGGCTTTTCTGATTTCTAAACACCGTAGCATCTTTCGTACTGTGACAAGGATGGGAAGAGCTTCTGATGCTTTGGCTTTTTATTGCATGGAGTCAGCCCAGGTACATAATCTGATTGTGGGCATCAGCCTATTGATGCAAAATAGCTTATGTTACTACTTTAATCAATTCTAATGAAGCCATAACATCAATATGTTTAATAATGACAAGCAGTTTTCCTTGTATTAATGTCTTGTTGTGTAGGTTAAGCTTTACATCTGATGTCAATGCGCTGCATTGTTTTTAGTATTTCTAAATCTCTTATCATATTTTCTGTGAAACAATCAATGTGTGAGGGGTTTTTTCCTGAAAACTTTAGTGAAGTGTTTGAAAGTTGTAAAGGAGAACTATTGAAGAAATCACCATTTGACTTTTCTTTACATACTAGGCATTGCTGTTGGACATATATATTTCTTCTTAGAGGATGTCTTTCCCAATCAGCCCGGTGGTGGAAGGCTTCTCAGAACGCCGTCTGTCCTGTAAGTATTGGCGTCTGATTTGGAACGGGTGTAGAAAAAGCGCTTATATGGAAAACTGTTTATAATTCAGTCACATCAACTTCTGGTAAATTAGGGAGCTCAAGGCAGAATTGTAGCATGTCTGTGCTTGCTCGTTTATTTAACTCCTGTTGCCAAACAAGGGAGGAGGATCTTACAGGTGTGTAAGTGGGAACTGACTTCTGGCGGAGAAGGGCTGGAGGGGTTTTGTCACCCTTGGTTTCTTTGGTAACACTTGTTAGTCTTTGCTGACTGAGTTTTGCCTGTTGGTGGCACCAAAGATGCACGTGTCTTGGAGTCCTGCTGTGTGTCAACAGTCACTGAGGTATTAAACATAATGTATCTGGTAGTTTTTTTCATCTGTAGATCATCCTCATTTCACAATTTTGGCAAAAGACTTCAGTGTTCATAGTACTGAGTGGTGCTACTCCTACTCGGTTCCCTCTTATGTAGCGAGCTGTAATCATCTGTAATGCTGTACAGCAGCCTGGGTGAGAGTAGCTTGCCTAAATGACGTGCAGTTGAGATGCTGAAAGCTGAGCTCTGTGGGACTCTTAGAACTGTCTAGAGCTGAACTGAGTCTCTTTTTTTTCGTTTGAGCTGGACTCCAGAGGCTTGGGTACTTAAAATGCTGTATTCAGACCCATGCTTAGTTTAACTGATGAGCCATTCCTGTGTGACTGGACTTACACTGGTAGTTTATTTTTGTTCAGTATAGGCTTTGTCTTCAGCAAGTAATTGTACCGGGTGATGGCTGCAGGAATGGCGGTCCCAGAGCAGGTGTGCCAGACCTTTCTGTAGGCTTACACTGATCTCACTTGGCCTTAGCAGCTGAAGGCTGCTTCTGGTGAGGGCTACCTTCCTATAAACACAGCTCTAGACAAATTGAGCATCCGATTACACATGTGCAATAAGGGTACATTTGAGATTTCCCATTTTCGCAGACTGTATGTACACCCAGCTGTGTGCAGGAGGGATCTTAAGGCTGTTGGAGCGATGCATGCTGTCTCAGTAACTCTGTTCCTCTGTGGAAGACGTGTCAGCCTGCCTTCAGACTGCTGTTTAAATCCTTTTACGTGTCCGTGTTCAGAAGGCTGCTTATGATTCTTGTCTGGGTCTAGAATTGTGGATTTTTTTCCCAGATGCTTTAATTTTCTCTGATGTGTTAGCTGTAATCCTGTAATACCCCTGGGTATTTTCTTTTTTCCTGTTCTGAAAACTTCTCTGAAATGGTCTGTCACTCTGGTGAAGAGAAATAATCCCTTTAGCTATTCTAAAAGCTGTCATTAAACACACTTTTAAGACATTTTGGATATAACAGTTGCTTGTATGCAGCCTATGATTTTTTTGTTCATTTATTTCAAAGAATCTGTTGTGCTTCTGTTTCTGGACAAACAAATCTACAGAGAGAGAACCTCTAAAACTTGTTTTGAAAGTGGCAAAATAACTTATGAGATTAAGCATGATTTTTGTAATAAATAGGAAACCCAAGCCTCTAACATTGTCTCAAATGCAGACTCTTCTGTGGATTTCAAGGCTGCGTGTCAATGCCTGCATCCTGCTTGTGAGACTGAGACGATACTGCCTGTATTCAGCTCTTACTTTGTCCCCTTCTCAAGATGTGAAGAGCTCCTCAGTATCCCATTCCTGTTTTGCTCCCTCATCCTGCTCTGGGGGAACATGATAGCTGTGTAGAATTCTGCCTTGCTCTGGAGGTGGAATTTTAACTTTCTGCTGAATCTCGTCAGTCTCGGTTGATTTAGGCACATAATTATAGACCTTCTTCCAGATGGCTTCTAACTGGAGAGCAAGTGTGACTTGGGTACAAATCACCAATGCTTTGTCAGGCTGTTTCTGAGGGAGGATGCTGTTACATGTGTAGGATTTGAGCAGTCTTGGTCTTACTGTGAAACACATATTCTAAAGGGGAAAAAAAAAAAAAATCTTTTCTGTTCTTCAGGAAAGCAATATTTGATACCCCGGAAGATGATCCTAATTACAATCCCTTGCCAGAGGAACGACCGGGAGGATTTGCGTGGGGAGAAGGCCAGCGCCTTGGAGGCTAATAAATGTCTGTGCCAAAACCCAGCGACAACTGGGAGAGACTGACCTGAATAAAGTTCCATACTGGGGACTCTCATTCCCCGTCGCAGAAAGGACGCTTTTTGACAACTCTATGGTTTTGAACACAAGCACTTTATGAAATGGCAGTCTAATCCAAGACACTTCCAGGCTACCAGTGTCTTTCCCAATCAGGGAATTTATTGTGCTGGTAATGGAAATACTAATCCAATGGAGCCAAAAACGTAAAACTGGAAACCACTTCCTGTCAATTTCAGTTAACAAGACCATAGGTACTTCTTTAAAGTGATTTCTAAAGCATTTTTTCAAGTATTTGATACAGGAAACTTTACAGGGGACAAAACCAACTTTTGGGGGTTTAACTCATTTTTTTATTCTTGGATAAAACAGCTACAAGATGGTTGAAAGTGTAAGTCCCTGTTTCGATGGCAAAAGCTTTTTAATCTGAGATGCTATTGTCTCCAGTCTTGTTTGAATTGTAAGAAATGGAACATGCAGCGTAATGCAGCCGTTTCATTTTGCCGGTTGGGTTTCTGGAATGTGCCTCTGTCTGAACGCGCTTGCAGGCTGAGACTACATTTTGGTGGCTTTTGCCCCAAAACTGCGTGTTCAGATGACCCAGGTTGAATCTGACTGGTTTGTTTAAATAGGTAGTTCTACAAACCCAGCCCCACACGTGCGCGCTTCTGACCGTTATTAAATGGCTCGGAGCACTAGGGAAGAAAACTTTTCTGGAGTCAGAACTGCTCAAATATCTCAGACAGTCAGTTGAATAAAATTTCTGGTGGATCCTGTTTTGTTAATCCTTTGTATGATTCTGTAGTCTTGAGGCAGCTGGTGAAAAAGCAGGGGTTGGAAAAAGCAAGTCCCTGAGGAGATGGTGTTAAGGCAAGCTTTTCCCACGCGCGTTGCTCAGAACTGCTAGGAAATGGGGTTGTCCGCTCAAGATGGTAAATCTGTGGTCTGTGGGTGAAGTGTGGTGCGGGAGGACTGGGTGTCCAACACAGGTCGGTGACACCGAGTGGGGTTTGGCTTGGAGTTGTGTTGATGATAAGTATCTGTATGAGGAGCTGCGCGAGGGATTCAGTTCAGCTTGCCACGGTCGGTCACTCCTGAGGCGCTACGGAGTGCACTGGGCAGCTCTTCGTTGATTATACTGTAACAGGTGAAAACAGGTATTGTGGAAACCGCGTCTTCCAAGTTTAGGAGGACAGGCTTGCCCTTGACACACATGATCATCTTGTTTAGCCTCAGGTTTGCTGTTCTTAAATACTGGCTACAGGTTCTTGTTTGTAGTCCAGGAGATGGATGTGTTGGGGTCTCATGGGGAAATGCTCTGTCTGCAAGCAGAGTGTTAGGTGCTGATAAACGAAGTCCATTTGTATCTGTATTTTATCTATTAAAGGTTATGAAAACTTAAGGGAGACTTTTTTTTTCCCCCAAAATAGACTTTAAATTTGCACTCTAGGAGTATTAAAAAAGTTCTGGGCGGTGTTGCTTTGAGACAGGCAGTTGATCAAAACCTTTCTTTAGCTCAGGGTTCAAGAGCCTCGTGGTAGTTTGCCGGTGGGAAGCTGGGGAGTGGGGATGAAGCTCGAAGACAGCCCCGTGGCCGGGGTAAAACCTTCTATAAACCCATGGCCCTGCGGCGAAGCGGCGTGCCCCTTCCTGAGGACTGTCTCTTGTTCGTACCGAGTCATGTGTTGATGATGTGTTGTCCGTCCTCACTCTTCCAAGCCACTTTCCTCACACGCATCCTTCACTCGGTAAGATCCTGCTCTTCCCTTGGCTGAGTAACAGAATCACAGAATGTTCAGGGTTGGCAGGGACCTCTGTGGGTCACCCCGCCCAACCCCCTGCCCAAGCAGGGTCCCCCACAGCAGGCTGCGCAGCACCGTGTCCAGGAGGGTCTGGAATATCTCCAGAGAAGGAGACTCCACAGCCTCCCTGGGCAGCCTGGGCCAGGGCTCCGTCACCCTCAGAGGGAAGAAGTTCTTCCTCCTGTTCAGCGGGAGCTTCCTCTGCTTCAGTTTGTGCCCGTTGCCCCTTGTCCTGTCACTGGGCACCACTGAAAAG